ATTTCGACGTTGATCACCAAAAAATTTCGGAAAATACACTTCCCAATCGTTTAATGTGACAAATCGTTCGACTAATACTAATAAAATTTCGAGTGAATTTTCGTCAAAATCATGATTTTCGGAATTAGGCCCATATTAATATGTCATGTAACAATAATATTTCAGTTAATGAACATTATAAATTAGAGAGTTCACATAAATTGTCGGCTGAAATGCTCATTTGCATATTAAGGCATTTGCTATTGTTTAAGAGTAAATATTTCAAATTTTTACTATACAAGGTGGGTATGGTTTTCAAGCCAAAAATGTTTTATTCACAAGGTTACATACAAGTGTGGTATGAACCCAAAGTTGATTTTTAGAGTTCACACGTTTCTATTAATATAGCAAAGAGTAAAAATAGATAGCTGGGTAAATATAAATAAGTTTTTGATTCGATCCAAGTTGATTATCAGTGATTTTGTTTTCTATTGTTATGATGACAACATTACCATTTCCATTACTTCTGCTACCTAAGAGTAGATTCTTGTGTTCGTTTGAAATTGAACTTTATTCCTGCCAAAATCCTTCTTCTTTATATATTTTAATTTTCTGTTTGCATGGCTAAATTTTATTTATTTTCATGAAAATCCAATCTTTTTTTTTTTTTGACCAGACCATATCAATTTTTTAAAGAACCAGACCAGACCAGATTTCTTTAAAATCTGATCTGATCTGAGGTCTTCCAAACTTTATTGAATTGAATATTTCGCCAGTTTTTTAGGTGATTTCTAAAAGCCCAATCAACAACACACAAGTATAAATGTAACCATTTTTGTTAATTGGTGATCAACTCTTCTATTCATAAAAACACACCACAATGACTATTTCATTATTGATGATGATCAAGACTATGACACCATGATAATGATAATAAATTAAAATTAATTAACATTCGGAATAATATAGGACCCGGTTTCCTTAAATAGAATGATCATTATAAAGGTTTTTGTGTTTAGCCATTTAAGGATAATTATCCAGGGTCCTGCGTTATGTGCTACAGCCTACTTTTGTAAATAGATGATGCCGATGAATATAATAATAATATTTAGCATATTTAACGTTATAGATTAGTAAAAAAAAAGTTAGTAATGCATAAACAATCTTTGGAGGCAGGGATTTTACCTGAGGCACATTATGACAAATTCTTATCAACAAGAAGTTCAAAAATAAGACAACTAATTTTACCTATAATTCGTAGCGAGACAAAATTATTAACTCGCATTCAGGTTTGCTAGTCAATTAATTGTTCTTCCAAATTATAATTAATTAATTAATAATTAATATTACATTTGTTTTAGGGTTCACTTAGAAATTCATTTTTTGATTGGTATTTCACCACTTCAGCTTCTTTGGGTAATCACACATTTTTTCTGATAGCTCTTCCAATAATATTTTGGTTTGGATATGCACCATTTGCTAGAGGGTGGGTTGATTTTGTTGGTAGTCATTTAATTAATTAATTAATTATTAATTGATTAATTGATTAATCAATAATTGATCATTTATTTATATAATAAATAATATTGCCAATTAATTAATTAATAGATTGACTATGGTAGTCGGATTGGGAGTTGTTTGGAGTGGATATGTAAAAGTAAGCCTTTTTCACTATATTTTTCTTGATTAATGACAACATATTTATTTTGTAAATATATTTAAAATATCTCTATAAATCACTTACATAATCAAAGGATATGTTATGTCTCCCACGTCCGCTATCACCTCCAATTCAACGTCTGACAGTTTCAGGAACTTTGCACTTAGAATATGGGTTTCCATCAACTCACACCACAAATGCAGTCTCAATAACACTTTATTTTTTATCATTTATATTTTCAGTTGACGAAGGAAAAGCTGTCATGGAGATGGCAGAAGAAGATGGGTTCTATAATGTATTAATAAAAAGCATTTATGTCACTATATTGACAACTTATTGTTTGACCATAACAATCGGCCGTATTTATTGTGGAATGCATAGCATAACTGGTAATTATTTGGTTAAAAAAATGGTCAAATAAAATATGATTGATTTGATTAATTGATTAATTGGGAAATGTTTTATAAATTATGTATCCTTTTGCTAGATGTTTTAGCAGGTGTGTGTATTGGAATTTTATCGTGGTGGACTCAATGGGGATGGCAAAATAATATTGAAGAATTGATAGTGAATGATAGTTTATTAGGTGAAAATTATTCATTCATTCATCTCATTTAATTGATTTTGATTAAATGATACTAATTTTTCTCTCCCAAAACAAACAGTTCCAATTGGGATTATATTTATTGGAATATTTACAGTTTATATATTTCCTGAACCAGTAGATGATTGTCCATGCTTTGAAGATTGGTATGAAAGAAAAATATTTTTAAAAATATTTTTTATTTTTTTCTAAATCAACGTAATCTTTATTATAAATCATAGTGTTGCATTTATTGGTGTTTTGGTAGGAATGATTTTTGGAAGTTGGAGACATGCAAAATCTTCATATAGTCTACATGGATCTGGTGTAGCAAATATTCCATATGATTATAATATTATTGGATTTCCAATATCAATTGCAAGAATCATACTTGGTAAAATTAATTATATTACATTGATTGATTGACTGGTTGATTGGTTGTTTGTTTGTTTGTTTGTTTGTTTGGCTAATTAGTCTATATCAATGTATCTATTTAATAGGAGTGATTATATTATTTCTTTGGAGATTTTTTTCAAAAAAAATTTTGCGTTTTATTCTTTCACCAATTATTAAATTGTTCAATTCTCACCAATCAGAATCATCATCTAACTCAAATATTGAAATTAATGAAAATTTGAAAAAAAATATAAATAATAATAAGAAAAAGAGAATCAAGAAGAATGACAGGAAAAGTGGAATTAACAGTATGAATAAGAATAAGTCAGTTGTTATTGTCAAGAAATTATCTTTTAGAAATGATATTGATGTTGCTGTCAAATTCATAGTTTATGCTGGTGAGTTTAAAATTATATGCGTCATTACATAAATATTATCTGTATTGATTATTTTCTTATTACTTATTTATTAGGTGTTGGATTGTTAGTGGTTGATTTAATTCCAATCTTATTTGAAATGTTAGGAATGGGAATTGGAATTAAAAAAGATATTGGATAGTTATAAGAATATAATATAATTTGTTGTAATAATAATAATAATAATAATAATAATAATAATAATAATAATAATAATAATAATAGTAATAATAATAATAATGATAATAATAATAATAATAGTAATAATAATAATAATAATAATAATAATAATAATATTAATAATAATATTAATAATAATAATAATAATAATAATAATAATTAGAATTAGAATTAGAATTTAATTTAGGAAAAATCATTTCAGAAAATTGATCAAATTTTTGTTGATACTTGGGAGTCAAACTATATCAGGATCAAATTGGCAAATGAAGGATGCCGATCTTTACATAGAATTTTTTAATTTAGATCTACTACTACTTCCAACAGATTTAAATGTCTCCTCAAAATATTCCTGTAGGTAAGGTCCGTCATTTAAATAAACATTCAATGTTGTATCTATAGTAACAATTTAATTGATTATCAAAAAACTTTAATTTGATAATAACTGATACAATACATATACTGTGTGTGTGTATTGTAGTAAGATCATTTGAAACCCCAAGAAACTTTTAGTCCACCAGCCACAATTTCAGGTCAATATTGTAAACAATGAATAATTGGACCTTTTCTTTTTAAAAGAATTGCATACTTCACAAAAATTTTCCAAATTCATTCTATTCGTACTACTCTTTTTATCGTGTCTAATGTTACATGTTCCTCTGAAAGCGTTTCTACATATAATCTCTCTAATCTCCCAACAGCTGAAGTAGTAAAAGAATGGTGTCAAGAAGCAAATGACTTAATTATGATAATTTAATTAAAGAGCTCAAAGTATTATTTTAGCACAGGTCATTGATTTGGATGCAAAGTAGAATGGTTAAAGTGGGAAAGTTTAGATTTAGATTGAATGTCAACATCAATTATGTCAATCTTATATGCATTATTTTTTTATTAATTGTGAACAATAAATAATATTACTCTACAAAAATATTTCATGATGAATGAATCATCTTCGAATGTAGTTAATAAAAGTAAAAGATTTCTTTTCTTTGAGGTTTCTCTCATATATATAGATATGCATATACACACGTCCACCTATACTCATAATTAATTAATCTTAAGTTAAACAGTAAATTATTTCTATTCTACATTTTGTTTTTATTATGTTCTTTATCATTTAGTATTAAAGTTCTTTGTAAATTTCATAAATAGTCCTTTCTTTAGATAAGTTTCAAGTATCCGGGTATCATTTATCTTGAAAATATAGGGAGTAATTTTCTCACCTTGTTCCTTTTTCAAAATACTTTTTGATTGTATTATAATTCCTGGGTTATATAGTTGATCTGATATAAATGAGTTTTATATTATTCATTTTTATGCAAAAGTAAACCTAAATAAAAAGTAAAAAACGAATATTACGACCACATTATCATTACATTGATGAGCGTGAAAATGAAATCTGACATACGTGAAATTCAAATTAGCCAATCACAATTTCATATCCAAAACACCCCACCCCAAAATTTTAATTATAAATCAATTTCACAACATAATACAAATTATTAACTAATCGATCAATTACTAGTACAATAAATTCAACCCAAGTCCGCCTTTTTGTCTATTTCAGTATTTTTAGATAATCATTTATTTTGTACATACCTCAGAAAAAAAATGTTTAATTTTCCATTTGAACTTCTAACTGAAACATTCAAATACATCAAAAATGACTACAAAACATTATATTCTTGTATTCTTGTCAACAAGCAATGGCACAATATTAATATTCCAACTTTATGGGAAGATCCATTTGTTTGTGAAGACAGCACCAAAATATTAATTAATTGTTTACTGGAAAAAGATGAGGATTTCTTGACTAGATATTGCATTGAATTAAATTTTAAACTATTGGAGAAACCACCTTTATATAATTATGCCAGATTTAGTACTATACTTTTTGATTATGATGATTTTGAATGCCTGATAAAAATTGGTGCATCACAAATTTTACGAATTAAATTAGTAGAATTTATTTTTGATCATTCAGCAGGCATTAGAAAGTTTAGTATTACTTATTGTCTAGATTGTAATTTGTTAATTAATCATCATAGATTTGATAATATCTTTAAGAATCTTTATGAATTAGAGTGTACTAGTTTTTATAGTGGTGAATTTTTTGATGAATTAACAAAAGTTTGTAAAAATATTCAATCATTAAAAATATATTATTATAATGATAAAAATATATATAACTTAGCACAGTTAATTAAAGCACAAAAGCAAATTAAATATTTAGTTATTGTATCTGAACAATTTCTACCGGATGAATTAAAAGAAGCAATATTAACACATTCACAATCAATAACTTTTTATGAATCATATTATAGTTTAGATGATTTATTAATATCAACATTTAAAAATTTAAAAACTTTATCATTAACAACTATTGGTTATGGATTAAATAATTTGAAAAATATTTCACTGCCAAATATTGAATCTATGAAGATATATAATATAAATCAATCATTCCTATCAGACTTGTCAGATTTTATTAATATCAATGGTAAAACTCTTAAAAATCTGGATGTTAGTAATAATATATTATATGTTCCTAGAGATAGCAAATTTGTAAGAAAACTACTTCAATCAATTGCACAATCTTGTAAAAATTTAGAAAATTTATCAACAATCTATGAAGATGAATTAGACCAGGAATTAATGGAAGTGCTCAATAGTTGTATAAAATTAAAAAGTATTACATTTGATATTACTTTTGATGGTTCTCACCAGGAATTTTATGGACTTGATGGTGATAAAATATTAACAGTATTAAATCAAACACTACCAAAAAAATTAGGATCAATAATTTGTACTTGTGAGGTTTCTAATATTAATGACCATTCATTAAATATTCTAATGAATAATTGGAGAGGACCCAAACCTTTAACAATGAAGCTTCATAAAAATGGTAATGAAGGTGATGATGCATCAAGAAAAATATTAAAAAAGTATCAAGATTTAGGATTTTTAGATTAATTAATATTATTTCAAGAGTTGTAATCTTCTTAATAATTTATAATAATGTTTCCTCCAATTAATAATAATATTCATACTTATATAAATTGTAATTCAATCAAGTCTAAATAAATTATTTTAATTGGTTGGCTAGAAATAAATAAATAATCATTTATATTGTACAACGAACAAATTTTTATACATACCTCAGAAAAAAAATGTTTAACTTTCCACTTGAACTTCTAACTGAAACATTCAAATACATTGAAAATGACTACAAAACATTATATTCTTGTATTCTTGTCAACAAACAATGGCACAATATTAATATTCCAACTTTATGGGAAGATCCATTTGTTTGTGAAGACAGCATCAAAATATTAATTAATTGTTTACTGGAAGAAGACAAGGATTTCTTGGCTAGAAATTGCATTGAATTAAATTTTAAACTATTGGAGAAACCACCTTTATATAATTATGCCAGATTTAGTACTATACTTTTTGATTATGATGATTTTGAATGCCTGATAAAAATTGGTGCATCACAAATTTTACAAATTAAATTAGTAGAATTTATTTTCGATCATTCAGCAGGCATTAGAAAGTTTAGTATTACTTATAGTCTAGATTGTAATTTGTTAATTAATCATCATAGATTTGATAATATCTTTCAGAATCTTTATGAATTAGAGTGTACTAGTTTTTATAGTGGTAAATTTTTTGATGAATTAACAAAAGTTTGTAAAAATATTCAATCATTAACAATATATTATTATTATGATGAAAATGTATATAACTTAGCACGGCTAATTAAAGCACAAAAGCAAATTAAATCTTTAGTTATTGAATCTGAACAATTTTTACCAGATGAATTCAAAGAAGCAATATTAACACATTCACAATCAATAACTTTTTATGCATCTTATCTAGCAAATAATTCAAATGATTTATTAATACCAACATTTAAAAATTTAAAAACTTTATCATTAACAATTGTTGATTATGGATTAAATAATTTTAAAAGTATTTCACTGCCAAATATTGAATCTGTGAAGATGTATAATATAAATCAATCATTCCTATCAGACTTGTCAGATTTTATTAATATCAATGGTAAAACTCTTAAAAATCTGGTTGTTAGTAATAAAAAATATTATGATCCTGGTGATAGCAAATTTGTAAGAAAACTGCTTCAATCAATTGCACAGTCTTGTAAAAATTTAGAAAATTTATCAACAATCTATGAAGATGAATTAGACCAGGAATTAATGGAAGTGCTCAATAGTTGTATAAAATTAAAAAGTATTACATTTGATATTGCTTTTTATGATCTTTATTTGGATGAAGATGAATTTTGTGGACTTGATGGTGATAAAATATTAACAGTATTAAATCAAACACTACCAAAAAAATTAGGGTCAATAATTTGTACTTGTGAGGTTTCTAATATTAATGACCATTCATTAAACATTCTAATGAATAATTGGAGAGGACTCAAACCTTTAACAATGAAACTTCATAATTCTGGTAATGAAGGTGATGCATTAAGAAAAATATTAAAAAAATATCAAGATTTAGGATTTTTAAATTAATTAATATTATTTCAAGAAGTAGATAGTGTTACCAGAATTAGTATTTAACACTAATTTGTTAGTCAAAATACCCTAATTCTGAACCAAATCTTTTATTTCTATTTTTATTTTATTTACTTTATTTTTATATCTACATTTATTTATTCCTTATATTTTATTTTTATTTTATTTTTATTCATATTTATTTACATTTTTATTATTTTATTTGTATTACATTTTTATTTTTATTCATATAATGTCGTGGTTAGAATGTTATGTTGCAATTAAAGTGCAATATTGTGGCTAGGATGTTAGATTGCAATGAAGTTGTTACTAATTAATTCAATTGTATAAAAGAAGCACAAATTCGACTTGCTTGTAAAGTAACTTGGTGATAAGTTAATTAGTTTCAACTAAGGAAAACTTGTTAATAACTTTGTGACAAGTTAATTAGTTTTGACTAAGGAAAACTTTGTTAATTAGTTTTGACTAAATAAATAAAATAGAAATATTTTATTTAAAACTTTTATCTTCTTTAAACAAAATTATTTGCTAATACCAAAATCAATTCATTGATCCCTATTCATTCTGATCCATGCAAAAACAAAAATAATTGTTATCACCAATTAAAATATGCTCTCCCAAATTTAATCGGTAACAATAATAGAGATGTTAATTGGTCCTAAACAGTTCAGGACAGTCCTGGGACTGGCAGTTTGTCATTCCAAATTGGCTCAAATATAACAATCAAAAATTATAACACTTTTCTTAACAACTATGGTTCAGAGGGATATAAATTCTATTTCAAGTTAAATGCTGACAATAAAACTGGTAGCATATATATAATTGGTATGGCAACACCAGTACATGAGGCTGTTGTTCATCAGCTTCAAAACTTTTTCAAAGATCCTAACAGAGGAGTTGTTGATGACCCTCCCATAGTAGTATTAGGACAGCCTCATAAGGGAATTTATTCTAGTATCTATTCTAGTTTGCTTCTTGTTATTGAATTGTCAATAATCTAGTTTTCTTTTCATATAGTTCACTTTAAACCTAATGGAAGTAGGATTGAAATAGCTCCTGATGTTGCCATATATCCAGACACAGCATTTGTTCCAAGACCTGTTAATTCAATCATAGTACCTCATCCTCCCAGTGATGTAGATGTATGTTGAGTTTTGTGTTTTATTGTATTTTGCTTTATATGTGTCACCAATTAAATTTTGGGAGTGTATTTTTAATTGGTGATAACAATTATTTTTGTTTTGTGTGGTGGATCAGAATGAATAGGGATCAATGAATTAATTTTGTTATTAGTGAATAATTTTGGGTAAAGAAGATAAAAGTTTTATTTAAATAAAATATTACTATTTTATTTATTTAGTTTTCTTAGTCAAAACTAATTAACTTGTTAGAAAGTTACCTTACAAGTACATTGAATTCCCAAAATTGAGATATTCTCCCAAAATTGAGAAGTTATCCCAAAATTGAGACAATATCTCAAAATTGCAACAATATCCCAGAATTGAGAGGATATCCCAAGACAATTCTTTCTTAAATAAATAATTAATAGAAATAAAAATAGAAATAAAAATAAAAATAAAAATAAAAACAAAAATAAAACATGGATAAAATAATACTAAATTAATAAACAAGTTTTGTAATCGAGGATGTGCAAGTGAGCAGGAGAAACTGTTCTGGGAACACAAAATTTTAACCCATGCAATTTGGTGATTGACTGATTAAAATCATGAATTTGATAATGTAGAAATATATAAATATTAATATGGGTTTGATTCATTTTATCTCACCAACAATCATTTAGTTAATGAATATAAGAGGTTGGAAGCAACCATGCAACAAACCATTGAAACAGTCTAATAAATTAAAAATTGTACTACTTGAAAATGTATTTAAAGGGTTGGTTTTTGACTAGCATAGTGGAAATTTGGTGTTGCACAAAATGTTATACAGAACCTGTTGCTCCTGAAACTTCACCAGTATATAGTTGTTACTACTCTAAGTTGGAGATCAAGTTCAGATCCAATTCAAATCCAGCTTATCACTTCCTTTTTATTGCCAGAATGTTTGTCATGTATTGTAAAGTTACATTGCACAATATAAAAAATTAGTGTAACATTTCAAATTTCCACTATGCTTTTTTGACTTGGTTGAAGAATGACTCTCTTCCTAACTCTTCTCTTGACCATATCTCTCGATATAATCAAAATAACCTTAACATAACAAATGTCAATTAAATGATAGTAAATGCAGCCAAATTAAGATACATGATTGAGAGGAAACATGAACAATGTATGAAAAAATCAAACAAATTTATTTAATAAAAATCATGTGACTAAAATTTTTATTGCATTTTTGCATATGTACAAAGAAGTTGAGATGTTTATTATACACTAGATTAAGGTTTTAACTTTTATGCAGTTTTTACTTTCATATGCTTTATAATAAAGAAGTAGAAGCTTGCATGTGTTATCATGGTGATATGATATATACAAAACAGTCTAATTTTTTAACATTAACTATATTATTTTATCATATAGTAAAAAACAATATACAAAATAGTCTAATTTCAACAAAAAATGCTTTCAACAAATGTTTTCAACATCTATTTACTATTACGAAAAACCAAATTAGCATTGACTCATCTCCATTGACCCTTTTTGTTTAACAATTTCAATCCCTTGTATATATTCATTTATCAACATTCCTACCTACCTTCAAGGAATCAAAGCTGAAATCAAAAATGTCCATAGGAAGGAGATTGACTCATCACCACATAGAACCGACCAAGAGCAAACATATTTTGATCTATGGTCAAGGTGATGTGTGGCAACATCAAGTCTTGTGGACGGTTAATGCAAAAGAGTTCTGTAAAGGGATTTCACTTTGGTTTGAGTACTGGAAAGAAATGAGATATTGTCACTGGATTGCTCAGGTTGATTTTCTGGATTTGGTTGTAGAAAGTGGGAAATGGCATAATGATTGATTCTATGACCCATGATTTTAAAAAACTAAATTAAGTGTAGACAATTTTTTTTTGTTAATGAGCAAAAAATTTTATTTATTTTATTGAACAAAAAAACCTAACCACATCAATTAAATTTAAATTGAAAATTAATTTCACAACAGAAACTATCAGATCTTTTGTTGTTAAAAATTCATTCAAGGTTTTTTTTACATTTCTTTTAAACCTTTTGATTTAAGGAATTTAATCTCCTATACTCACTTATGACATTGACATCCACTTTCAAGCAGTTGAAGTCAAAGGACAGTATATCCACTGAGTTCCAGGAAGGGGCCCTGCTCATCACCACATAGTTCTGACTGGCAGCAAACATATTTTCATCAATGTGGTAATGTGAGGCCTGAGTCTTGTGAATGGTAAGCGTGAACATGTTGCATCAGGAAAATGGGTACAAATATTATGTGTATATAATACGCAATTGCAGGGATTAAGCATATAATATATGTACAATTTGCATACATAAAAAAATACAAGATTTGTACACATATTATATGCTTAATCCCTGCAATTGTGTATTATATACGCATAATATTTGTACCCATTTTCCTGATGACTTCTGGATGGAAAACTGGCACCTTGATGCCAGGATACCATTAATATTGGAGTATGAAGTGGTACTCTGGACATTAATCTTTACTATATTGTTGGTTGTAGGAAAGGTAACCTTGACATTATCATCATCAATGATTTTTGTGACAACTCCAATGGTTCCATTACATATGTTGTGTTCAAAAAGCCTGTTATTCAGATACATCATGTGGGCACCTTCCTGCAACATGACAGAGCTTGGGAGGTTGGAGTAGTTCTTGAAGTGTAACTTATTGTCACTATTGTCAAATATCTGATTATTGAAAACATCTCTAGGCTTGGACACAATAATGTTGGAGCTCTTGTCATTGAATGGCAGGTTGTTACAGATGAAAGAGTTGATATCATTGGCTGTCTGTCGAAGGCCAACAACATGTGTTGAGCTTATCATCTCATCCAAGTTATGTGAATTAGATATTTTTTCATTTATCATTGATTTTGGTTTCTCAGAGAGTCTGCCAAATCTTAACTCCTCTAACAAATTGTAAAAGTCTAGGTCTTCCTTCTGCTGCTCTGGTTGGGTTAGGAAAAGAGGGAAGAACAATTTCCAAGCTGGTGAAAAAAAGACCTGTTCCCCATTCACAGGAGGCAGTTGAGCAAGGTCACCAATCGCAAGGACTGGAATTCCTCCAAACACTCTGCTGCTCTTGTGTAATGAAACAAACATGTTGCTTAGGAATGTGAAGAGCTTGTTTGAGAACATAGAAATCTCATTGATGATGATAACTTTGATTTTTAAGAGTTCTGCCTTTAGTGTTTCATCATCAAGCAATAAGGTCTGATAATGGTTGT